AATTAATGACAAAATTGAGAAAATATTAAATACATGGGACATGGCCATCCCTTCATCTTAATGAATTTCAGTATTTTTTAATTTAATTTAAAACTTAACTACTGTTAAGATTTTGTTCTTTGAAGGGTGTCAAACATCCCTGGCATTTAATGATCAACATCACTAAAGATGTTAGAGTTACAACATCACTGAAAAAAGTGATTTATGACCATTATTTCACCCTTAATGACTGTTGAAGCATATCTATGGTCAAAATTTAGATTCTTGGCAACTAACTCATATTTATGATGATTGCAATGTCCCGGGGTCATGTGATCACCTTTTTTCACCTTCTGGCAAGCAAAGTCAATGGGAAAGCCATGTTTCACTTAACCATGTTAATAACACTGCAGTGATTCACAACGGTGGCAAGAAAGGTCATAAAATGGGGCAAAAATCACTTAACAAATATCTCACAACAACAGAAATTTTGGGCTCTGTCAGAGTATATTCATGAACTGGAATAGAGCATGGTAACAGGGTCAGCCAATGAATAGGCCTAGCAACTAAATCAGCCAATGAGGATAGTTTGGAAACTGAAACTACTAGAAGTAGCCTAGGCTGGAAACTGAAAGTAAAAGTAGCCTAGGTCCTGTTCTATGTTAAGCTCTGCAACTCTGCAACTATGTTGAGCTCTGAGTCTGTGTATTGTAGATGAAACTAGCTTGTTTGCTTGCTGAAGACTGGACCGTGGCTGTGAACTTGCAACATGTTTCTGTTTGAGTTTGCTCCATGTTGGAGAAATATACAACTGGTTTGTAAAATCTACTTAGTTTGTAATGATGTTAAATGAAGCATTAGCCATCTGTGTTTATTTTTCTGGTGCTGAATTATCGCTGCAAAACTCTCAATAGGCTCAGTTGTGGTTCTATGTTGAGGACTACCTGGAAATATCTCAAATATGACCGGAGTACCTTCATATGAGGAAAACAAACATCTCTAGCCTTTCCCATCCAATATTTCTTAGTGCTTCTTTCCTACCATCAGGTTAAAATGACTAAGTCATCCCTCCTTTTTGGTCCACATCTTCGTGTCAGGCAACACTAAACAAATGGTTAGATTTCATTGTAACATAAGACAGGCCATGAAAAATAAGGAGTGAAAGAAGTTGGGCATTACTTAGAAATTAGATTCAGTTACATCCTGTTCTACTGCATTGCTTTCTATAGAAGTAGTTGCAACATTTTCCAGTGGTCGTGGCCTATGTTTCTCTCGTTTTCTCTCGTAGTTGCTTTGCTGTCTGAATGGGACAGATTGATAAGAATAGGATGTATTTAATTGAACATTTTCTAAATAATATTCTTTTGGTTTTTGGATGCAGGAAAATGAGAGATGGAAAGGTTACAAATTTGCACTCCTATTTCATTTCTTTGCTCAACATCATAAAGTTTCATTTGTTTTAGCATCAAATTGCTCTTTTCATTTTAAAGCAATTTTACAAAGAGCTCAATCAGTGATTTCCTAATTAGCAAAACAACTGCACGTAGAAGATTTCATAGTAGACATTTTAATGAGTTACTTCTGCTTCTGAATTTGGAGTGGATTTGCATGGAGTGAATATTATGAATTTAAAGAGCACTTAGCATACACCAGTATTAATTGCAAAACAAATGCCAATTTAAAAAAGATGGAACAGAATGGAGAAAAAAGTGGAACAGAACTGGAGTAATGAAGATTGAGGGAAGATTTAAAAAAATAATTGGTTTTGTATATATACATATTTCAGATTTAACATGTAATTGGAGGCTATAAAGAAAATTTGCAATAGGACAATAATGAGGACTTTGGATTGTTTTATGTAATTGTTTTGGATTGTTTTATGTAATTAAATTATAAGCAAGCTCTAAAACAGAGTGGTCAAAAGTTAGGAATATTTTTTTAAAGATGCATAGTTTTTAAATATTCAGATACAGGTAGTCCTTGACTTGCAATCCCAGAATTTATCAAGTGGTCATGTGAGCATATTGTTTAATGACCACTCACTCAACAACCATAACCCCAGTTCTTCTAGTTGTAGTCATTAAATGGACAGAGCAAAAGGGTGGTCGAGGAACTCCTGCAGTAGGCTGAAGAAACAAATTTTGGATCTTTGGGATCCAGGCTTTGTTTTTGCATCCCACTGGAGAAGTTCATCTCCCCTTCATACATGGAAGAGAATCTACTGCGATAAGCTGCAGGAACAGAGTGGGATCTTCAGGATCTGGACTCCCTTTCTCCGCCTCTTCCTTTTACACAAAGGGAAACTCCTTTAAGAGACTGCACAAAGGCACCACTGATCTTTGGGATCTGACCTGCGTTTCTGCAATCTACCTGATGAGTTCCTTGGTAGGCAGCCTGCTTGCCAGAATATCAGCTCCACGGCAGGTGGTAGCAGCTTGCAACCTTCCCTGCTGGCTGCTCCATTGACTATCTAAAGAAACCAGCAGAGAAGTTTGGAAATGGTGATCACATGATCATCATTGGCAACTGGTCTTAAGTGCAAACAGGTTGCTGGGGACTCAGATCGCGATCATGTGACATGGGTGGGGGGAAGAGTTGCATAATGTTTTATGACAGCCAGAAGTGTTTTATGGGCTGTAAAGCACCCTTTCTGAGGCCACTGTACCTTTGAATGGTCATTAACAACTGGTCATAAGTCAAAGACTACCTGTATTTGACTATTTTAAACAGTGCATGACTATTTTGATTATTTTTCAGTGATCTGGAAAAAAATGAATATATGTGAATACTTTAAATTGAAGTGAATTAGGAACAACTTGCCTCCAGAAGTTGTGAATGCTCCAACACTGAAAGTTTTAAAAAGATGTTGGATAACCATTTGTCTGAAGTGGTGTAGGGTTTCCTCCTAAGCAGGAGGTTGGACTAGAAACCTCCAAGGTCCCTTCCAACTCTTGTTATTCTATTCTATTCTTTTTCAAAAGGCAACTGGACTTTGTTTTTCCTTGAAGCCATTTCGCTTCTCATCCAAGAAGCTTCCTCCGTTCTAATTGAATAGCACAGAATGGAAGTATTGATATTAACTGCAAGAAATATAAATCCTTCCATGATCCTCCATCATTCAGTCAGAAGTGAAGAGGCTTCTTGGATGAGAAGTGAAACATCTTCAATGAAAAACAAAGAAAGTCCAGTTGCCTTTTGAAAAAGCACCTTTGGGACAACCATAGCCTGGAAGTTTACAATTAAAAATGTTTGATTAAGTAGAAATATATGCTAAGTATTATACTTAATCACTGATAATTCCTGTAAACTATGTTTATATTCCATCCTTCTGAAGTTGATAAAATGAGGACCCAGATAGTTGGGGATAATATGCTGACTCTGTAAACCTCTTAGAGAGGGCTGTAAATCCCTAGGAAGTGGTATATAAGTGCTATTGCTATTACAATTTACCTGTGACAGTACTGAAGTCACAACTGACATTAATATACCATAGTTCTTGTTTGCCAGGAAACAAATATATTTTATGAAACTTAGTGTATTGTAGCTGAATTGGATTATCATCATGCCAGAAATAATCTTAAATTATATAACTAGGTTATTGAATAATACATTTTATGTAATTGTATTGCTTTTTAAAAGTTTTATAATAATTGTAAGTCTCTGTATTATATTGTTGTGCTTTCTGACCCAGAAACCATAATAAATGCTTGATCATCATACAATCAGTCATCATAAATTCTTCATTTTGTTCTTATTGAAACAACATTATAATGTCTTTGTATTCTCTCTCCTTCCAATCTTGTATCTAGATTTTTTTTTAAAAAGAGTTCAAAGTGATCTCTGGGGCTGTATGGCTTATAAAGCAAACTTGAATATCATAAATTGGTTAGTATTGATCTTTGCAAAACGCTAAATTGCATACATGTCGGAAAAAATAGACTGGTTAAGATTACAAAGTTGAGTGTTCATGTAAAAGCAAGCTTTGTTTAAATTGGCAGTTTAATGTTAGCAATAAGAATGTAACAGTATCCCTTGCCATGCTTCACTGCAAGAGGCTGTTTTAAGGCGTGCAAATGCCCACATCTGCATCTCCCAGAAGAGAGGAAAGCCAAGGGTCTACAAGGTCTTCCCCCTATCTGTCCTTTATTTAGAAACAATACTGTTCTCCATTTGTAGATGCTTAAGCCACTGGAAAACTATTCATTTATTAAATTTATATGCCCTCCATCTCCCTATCAATTGATTATGGTACAGTAAGGTCATGTAATTATGTATGGTTTGGCTTCCATGTCTAGATATTTCTGAATATTTCTGAATAGAGTAGCTAATGGAAAAAGTGACACAAAATAAGGCTGGGCCCAGGATTGAAGGTATAAAAACTTAGATTTAACAGACTTATGGAGAATGCCAGCTATAAAAAATAGAATATCTATTAAATGTAAACAGATTTTGCTTATGCATAAAATGGCACTAGATTGTACACATATGCATTTCACATATGCAGTTGCATGTATAAAGTAGCCATTTGTATATATGCATAGAAGTTTCCAGTATACAGACAGATTTTCTTCACTGTAACCAAAGTACCCAAAACAGGGCCTTTTAAATCAAGGGTTTATTGTCTTGCATTCTCTCTCCCTGCCCCCATTTTCCTTGTTCAGGAGCATGCAGCCTGCTGCTCTCTGAATGGTTTGCCATTGGCTGTCCTGCTGGCATGGATGAGAATTGAATATCTGGAAACCATCTGGATGTTCATCCCTTTTTTCTGTCATCAGAAAAATGTTAACAGTAGTAATACAGAATTCTTCAGTAATTCATGGTGTAGATAAATGCTCCAAATTTGAAGATTTATAGAATTGCACAAAGTTGTGGTGGAATGAGATACAATATTTTTAGTTTTAAGAATCCTTTTATAATTAATCACCCGTACAGAACATTTTTTTTAGTATTTTGCATAGCTAATGAATTTGTTTTTGTCTCCTTTCTTTTTAAAATATCACTTTGATTGGGCTTCAATGAAGGAAACCTATGAGAACAGAAGAGAATGGAACAAGTCAAGCTGAATATGCAATGACATCCTGTCAAAACAGCAGGACAGTTGATGCTAACAATGCAGTGGCGTAATTTCCAAAACCACCTCTCGAAGAGTAAACATTAAAAGCACACATGGAATATGCAAGGTGGGTGAAATGCAGCATCAAGAGAAGACTTATGGCCGAGGACTTCATTTCAGAAATAGCGCTTCAGATATTCTGAGAAGAAAAGCAGGTGACTCTCCTTTGGCTTGCTGAGTGTCACAAAAAGTGGGATTATACCAGGGGCTACTCTGAAAAAGGGATTCACAGAGGCCTACTCACTGCATGCTTGTTCTTTTGAAAGCAACATTGCAGTGCCCCTTCTTCCTTCCTCATCTTTGATTGACGGTTTATTTTTTTGAAAATGCTTCAGCGATCCTTTGATGATTAAGAGAATGGTCTATTCAAGACGGTAAAAATACCATAATTGGGCTTGCAAATTCAAGCTTTGCGTTTTTCTGTTTCTCTACAGTCATTTTAAGACCCACCTTTTATGATGATCATATTGTTGAAGTGGAAAATCTCCATTCACTGAGAGGGAACATCCTTTCCTGCCCAGCTTCATGATTTCATGGAATGTATCCCTACCTACACAATCTGATGGCTAGATATAGATGCTGCTACTACAGACATAAAGGAATTCAGAATGTCTTACAGCAATTAGTTTTATTGATCGAAAGAAAAGTGTTACCTAGGATAACATTTTAAAGTGTTTTAAATGCTATTAATCCACAGTCCAGAAACATATTGGGCCTTGGAGTTAAAAGAAATATATATTTGGGTACATCTATTATTATTTTGCAGTTTTGCACATGTATATCCACCACACTAATCTGTAGACAAGATCTCTAGAATGATCTAAAAATGTTTGACTCTGGAGGACAACAAGCTGCAATGGACACAACTCCTTAAAGACTTTCCTATTCCTTGAGTAGCTCCTCCAAATGAGTGCTAAATAAAGAATTTTCTGTTGTAGGGAAAAAAGCTGTGATGGACCAGTCCCCTCTTTAGTAAGGGGCTGCCAATAGTGCCAAAATTACTCTGTGTTGTATCACTTTGTGATAAAGTACCACAAACAGTTTAAAAGCATAACCCGACTCTCCATTGTCACAGTGTCTTGTTTAGGCACAGTCACTTTAATTTCTAAAAGAACGACTGATGCTATTACTTGTCCATACCTTGATTAAGGACTTAAAATATGGTTCCTGTCTTTCCTTTCACATGCCTTCATTTGTCACAGCTGTACCAGCAAAACAAAACAAAACGATGTGTCACGATCTGGCTTCTTGTCTTGCTGTCAGACTTCAGTGATATTTTGTCTTCAAGCAGTCTAAAAAGAAGCTGTAACAGTTCTGTAGTCTAGGATCATGGTATTGTGTCAGTCCTAAGTCCCAAGAAGCTGGTATGCTGGCTGAATGTAGCTAGGATTGTCTCAAAGTAGAATTCCAGTGTATTCCAAATTACAATCAGTTCTTCAAAAAAGAACTGAAGACCTCTTAAAACTGAGGAATCTCTGCATTGAATTCTGATACTGCCTCACTTAGACAAAGTCACTGTATAATGCTATCCCAGTTAAATATGAAAAATAATGGATGGATAAATGAGTGAGTGAATGAATGAATGAATGATTTTAGAGTCTTTGGCCAGTCAATAGTATATAATAGTACTTAAAATCAATACAGTTAGTGCTGTTGCAGCAACAATAATTTGCCTCTTAATAGCAATATAAAATACTTTTGCAACCATTTTAGTTATGTCTGAGCTTGCATCTGCAAGGCAGTAAGTTACGTAAAATAAATAATTTATTCCTAGGAATCTTAAAAAGTAGTGGTTATATTTGTTCTTTATATCCCAGTAGAGGATACAATACAAAAAAGCATGTTCCCAAGGGTTGTCAGGGTGTCTCACTAGAAAATTGGTTCCTTATAAATCTCATTTCTAGGATAGATAAGGAAAATTCATTTAAACAGGATTTGGAGAAAGAAATCCTAAACATACCTGTTCAATATGATGGTGATCAAAATATCTTTTATATGATTTCCTGGAGCAGGAAAAGATTAGTATCTTCGTTTTAGAATACTTTACAGTTGGTTTGTTAATACTGCAATATTGCTAGAAGGCTGTCATCAGTCAAATAGGTGATATCAACATATAATAAAAAAGGCACATATGTATCGGTCAGCATAGGGCAGCAAAGTCTTCAGTTTCCAATGAGACTGCCAAGTCATTCATATAAAAACTGAACAAGATTGAAGTCAAGACACACCCTTCTCTAGCTCCACCTGTAGAAGGAAATGGGTTAGTTAAAGTGCTATTAGGACTATATTTAATCTGCAAAAAGGATTTAGAATAATTGCCTTCTGGTCAGTTGTGTTTCCCATAGTAGTCTCCGAGAAACAGATGAGATGAGCAGCACATAAATCAGATAAATAATAAATAAATAGAATTGAAAGCTGCTTTAAGCCAATAAAAACTATGAAAAGATTACACATCGATCCCTATAAATATTTCTCAATAGGATCGTATAAGACCATATATAATCCAGTGTAGAGCAACCTCTGAACCCAGTCTGCTCAATCCCCAAGATTTTAGGATCTGCCAGCCATGTCTTTAAGTCATTAAAGAGATACATAGCATAAAGTTTGCCTACTGTTGATAACATGGGCACTATGGTGGAATTTGTCCATAGATTTTTCTTTTATTGTTGATATTTCCAAACAAACAAAATTAACAAGGAGTAATGCCCACCATTTTGAATTGATTTAAATAAATTCTGGAGATATAGGATCTGTGGGGATTGCCCTGCCTTATCAATTTCATTTTTTATGGAGTCAAGAAGTGGGGGGGGGGGGGGGATTGGTAATAAGAAGTACAGTGGATTCAAGGAAATGATTGTGTTTGTAAATTGCAAAAAAGTGGCTCTCTCAAATTCCAGTAGAGATTTTACATATGGGATTTTCAGAATACCTTCCCATAGTCTTAAAAATAATTATCCAATAGATTTGTTTGCCTTTGCTCCTAGAAATATCGGAAAAAAACTTTTCCAAGTGGCATTTATAGGTTTCTCCAGCAAATAATGGCTGGGGAATCTTCTTATTGCCTGCTATATAGCTTTTGTCAGTGTTACAGACTTGTTATTTAGAAACCTACATTTTACTTTCAGCCACTCTTTATTATTATTATTTGTAACCTGCCTCGGTTATATAAAAAGTTTACTTTACAGTGAGCCATCAAAATATTCACAAAAGAATAAACAAGATTATCATTAAAAAATAATAATCTCAGATACCCGTCATTGACACGAGAATCTTTCGTTTAACCATATCTTCAACAGAATCATGACCATAAATATTTCAGATTCCATCTTCCTACTTCTTGCATCAGTCTTGTCTCCTGGACTGAATCTTGATTTTTGTTGCTGGTTCTTTCAGTGTTATTTTTCTTAGGGTTGTACTCACCTTTTTGTAGACCTGCATTCTTGGTCAAGAATATTCATCAATTTCTTTAAGTTTGCCTTGGCAACTCGTGACCACAATGCCCCTTATTACAAATTTTATTTTTTGCCATTGTCATTTACATGAATCGTGGTGATTAAGCAAATCTGACTTCCCCATTGACTTTGCTTGTTGGCAGCTGACTGAGAAGGTCACAAATGGTCATGTGACACACACCCATCCCAAATACATGCTGGTTTCCAAGTGCCCAAATTTTGATCCTGTGACCAGAGAGACGCTCACTGCAAAGAAAATGCAAGGACTGGTTGTAAGTCACTTTTTTCACCATCGTGATTTCCAATGATTGCTAAACAAATGGTATAAATTTGAGGACTACTTGTGCAAATAGTCAGATTTATGAATGTAAGGAAATATATAAAAAGATAGGGAAACCTCTCAGTGCAATACTAAAACATGTTTTAATTACCACATAGTTTATGCACAGAAACATTAAAAAATGTAAAATAAAATAAAAATGAACAAAATACGAAAACATTGGGTTTTAATTGTGCAGTTCAATTATTAGAGGTAAAATTGAGAATAGACTACCATGGACTGGTATCATCTTCCATTTCAGGGCTTCATATTTACTGATTGATTCAGCATTTTTCTACCTATTTAGGTTACATTGGTAAACAAGGCTCTCCATTCTGCCAAGGAGGACTTTATTAGTGGAATTTCAGAATCCCCTGCTCCCTCAAGGAAGTTCAACAGTTGCTTCTCTAACAGATGAGAGATCAGCCAAAAGCCTGATTTTCATTCCTGGTATTCATCAGGATGAGCAGGGTCACTAACAGATTTTGAAGGCTCGTTTTCTCGTTCTCCACTAGCTTGGAGTTGATAGGCATTTAAGAAGAGAAGCCTGTAACCTTTAGCTGGTTTATACTACAGTTAATCTTGCAAGAAATTTTCCTTTTTCAGTCTTCAGTCTAAGGACTGGTATCAAACCAGACCCTATTAAATTGCAGATAGAACCATGAGAAATAGAAATACAAAGGGAGAAAGCAGATGCCAGAAAGCAATAAAAGGTCTGCACTTGGATAGAAGTATTTCTTTTAAAGATAATCAATGTTAGTATAAGCAGTTCTTGCTAATGTTAAAGATAATATTTGAGGAATAATATACTTGCTTGCCAGTTTGATGTCACTTCTTTCCTCCTGATTAATCTATTGGGCGAATTGCATAACAGTATCACTTTTAGAGGCTTCTCTGTAGCTTAGCTGTTAGCTATTCCCCAGACCTCAATAAAGCAGTCTTATACTAGACCTCTACCTATTTTACTAAAATGGCCTTGAAAAAAAAGAAAACCCATGAACAAAATAACAGCACCAAGATTATGACAGCTGTTTTTTAAAAAAATATTGCGGAACAGGACTGCAGGCTACAATGTCTCTAAACATAAGTGAAAAAACAAGAATAAGAAAGGCTGGACTGTATCTGGTTCATCGAAACAACCTCCCCCTTCATATTCTTGCCAGGAGTTGCTCAAGGAAGGGTTTAATAGTTATCATAAGTAGCTATTAGTCACTGGAGGGCCTGACCAATCATCATATTTCAGTGAAAATGTTACGAAGTAATAGAGGATATGTAAATACGTACATTGTCCAGAAGGGAAAACATGCTTAGGGAGAGATCTGTGGAGATAAGTTTCTTCCCTTCTAAAAAAATATAGCTAGTAACTTTTTAAGACTTAGTGAACATGGAGCAATCAGAGTACAGAATTCAGATTTCTGAGGATTTCTTTTCCAATTAGTTTGACCTATTGTAATTGCAACAGTAAAAATAATATAATTTGGATTCTTGGAAGCAGAATTGTTCAAAATTAATTGCCAATTCCAAAAAAAAAAAAGCTCTTAAAACCATACTCCACAGTCACTTACAATATTTTATTCCCCACTCAATCCTACTTTGAATGTTTCATGGGGAGATTTACACTCTTTTTCGTCAGATTTCAATGTTACATTCTGTAGAAAGTATATTTTTTTCCTAAAAGAGAATAGACATGCTTTGGTTTACAGCATAAATGTATGAAGGTTGCAATTATTATGTTTATCAGAAGAATTTTAGTGGACCAGCCGTTTAATTTCAAGTCTGAATGTAATAGTTCTGCGATAGCAAAAATAAAAATAATTCAACTATAATTTCCCCCCCTCTTAAGGATTATTTTGAAAAAATGCAGCCCCTCTTCTCTGTAGTTCAGATAATGGAAAGGCTGAGCAAAAAGTATACCATGCATGAGTTATATGAACACAGGATGCAAATTATGTTAGTTTAGCCATCGGTCTTTCTCTAACTGCAGCAACAACTTCCTTGCCTTTTGTCCCCAAAGATTAAATCCTAATCTACTGCATGCTAAACATGTTTTACCACTGAATCTAGTGACAATCACCAGACTGTTAGTGGTATAGATGGCTTACTGGGTAAGAAGTTAACATGTAAATTGATGACAACTTCATTTCTTTTCATACAATCCAATGCCCAGTATGGGATGGAAAAACATACTCTGGTAATTCCCTTCATACCTTATCTCTCCATGTCAGTGACGGAAGTTAGGTTTGAAAAGAGTAAGGTGGTGGAACACCCTTCCATGAGTAAATATTTTAAAATGATTCCAAAGATCTTTACAGTGAACAGGGACGAAAGAAAGATTGCAGTGTGTCCCCAACTGCATTGCAATTGTGTTGCATTGTTGCTTTCATTTAATAAAAGGATCAGAGTTCCAGTTAAACCTTCACTGAAGTTAATAGAAATTTCATAATAGATACCAGTCTTAATTAGTTGCATTGGCTACATCCACCAGTACTTACCAAATGCTCTCCAAGTCATTTTAACTCAAAATACCTCTGGGCTGAATGTCTTATTAGTCCTTTATTCTGAAAGCCTTTTGAATTCCATGCAAGAATGTATTTTCAGAGAAATCTTAAGGCATACTCTCTTTATTATACTCACTGACAAATCCACAGTAAAATCAGAACAGAGAAAACATTATTTTGAAGACGTGTAATTCTCATTTTTAACAAAAGTACATGATTCATAAATCCAACTTAATTTAATGTTAACACTTCATTAGTTAATAGTGGAGAACAGTTTAAAATGCACAATAAAGTTTAACATAAAAATATTAAAAAAAGAAGAAAAATGTTTTTGAACAGCAAGCTAATAGATATATCCAACTTAAAAAAAAAATAGAAAAACTAAAAACTTGGCTGCTAATAACTGCTCTTATTTTAATTGTAATGGAGAGAATTTTGGCTGCTTGCTTTTTTGAGGGAGCCCTGAGAGTAATATAGGAGATAGAACTGTAGATTTTCCTAAGAAGTGGAGTCTAAAATATGTTCTGATATATTTGTAATATTTTTTCTTTCATTCAATCATGTCTGATTCTCAGAGACTGCCCTAGACAAATCCCTGCAGTTTTCTTGGCCATGTTCTTCAGAAGTGGTTTGTCATTGCCTCCTTCCTAGGATCGAGAGATTGATCCAAGGTCACCCATTTATCTTCCTATCCAAGGATTAGAACTCATAGTTTCCCAGTTCACACACACACACACACACACACACTGGCCTTTGAGGACTACTAAGAATATGCAGTTAAACTGGGATGCTATTATATGATGTTATTATTAACTCTAATTATGTCATTGAATATTCAAAACTGCATTATTATAGTCATCAGAATTTCTGTTGTGTATTATATACATGTCAATGAGCAGCTTGAAATTATTACAAATTATGCTTTTATTTTATTTTGTCTTCTTTCAGAAAAATCTCAATTACAGATTATGGTGTTTGGAACATACCAATATGTGCATATACCATACATACATGCACCTGACCTGTATGAAGGCTGTATGAAAGAAGAAGGTGGGATAGATAGAAAGTTTATATTTTGTGGTATTTGGGGCTACTCCTATCAGTAAAATAGGAAAATAATTTTACACTGCAGGGAAACCTTAATGGAGTTTTTTGGGAAATATTTTTTTGTTATTCCAGAATATATACTACATTACTGTGAATAATATAAAATTAAGATAAATTAACCTGCCTCATAAGAATCACTTTAGATGCAACAGACTTGTCTATTATGTTAACAGGTTTTCCATAAGTCTGAGTTTCCATCAAAACCTATAACATGAGAATCCATTCAACTGAGATTTCATGTGTATGCTACTGCATAGGCACAATAATACAGGCAGGAGAATAATCACATTATTCATATGAATGGTTTGTAGGAGTTTGTAGAAGCTGAAGATTAAATGTAGTGATAATTTTAGAATTCTTACATCCAGTTTTTTGGCTGGACCCATTTCAGATACATCAGAATGACATGGCAACAACACCTAACCAACCCTAATCAATCTAAAAATGTTAAGCTGCATCCGACTCAGATTACATTAAGATTCAAGGAAGGCTCAAGGATACATGAGACAGTAGTCACCAGGAATCTAAAGAGAACCTTTACTGATTTTGGAAATTGCTGTTTCCAAATATTTTTGGGAGGGAGGGTTGATTGGCCTTTACAAAATGATTTTATTTTGGTCTCAGAGGGTTTATATTTAGCTATTGCGCAGTATCAATCTTTTCCCAAAAATATACAACTTTTGTTCTACAAAGTTTTGACTAAAAGCTAACAAAAATATTAATTACATTAAGGGGCATACAATTTTTGTAAACCCTAGAAACAATTTAACTCTTCTGAAGTTATACCTTGGTTCCCAGCTTTCAAAACGGGATAGGAATATGCCTTCTAGTGTTTTATTATATAACCAATTTGAAACTACTGGTTCCAAAAATAAATAAAAAATAATGTGCTCTCTAATGTGTTTAAATGCAAATGAAATATACAAGTATTTACAGATAAAGGGTGTGTGTGTGTGTGTGTATGTGTGCGTTTCATAATGATAACCTCATGCTGAAAGCATAATTCAATATAACAATTTACAGGGATTAATTTTTTTTTTTACTTTTAGTCTTTTTTAAAAAACAGATTGAACGGTTTTATGTACCAACAGCCATATAGCAAGCAAACTTTAGTTTATTAATATATCTGGTATTGCTCTACTTATATGAAGCTGATTGTACATCACACAACAGCTGAGATTTTTCTCAGCTTGCAACCTTGTTACTACGAACAAGTGTATTATAAAATATACATAGGGGGAG